TAGCCTGCCCACAGACCCTCTATTTTCTCTTCACAGATCGTCGAGCGCGCGTATGAAATAATATCCGTGGGGGATTTATTGACCACTAGTGCAAGGGGGGTGGGGTTGGGAAAAGAAAAAAAATAGCTCTTTCTTTTTCTTCCTCGCGCTCCGCCCTCGTTCTCGCGCGCTTGCTTCGCTCTTGTGCTCGTCAAAAAACAAAAAAAGAAAAGCGTCTGTGTACAGAATAATGTTGCGTCCACTTATTTCCTGTTATTTTGTGGCACGGTATGGCAAAGTGTGTAAAACAAATTTCAGTTGTTGTAGCTACAAAAGAGAATCGTTTGCATTTACTTAAGACATAAATTTATACGTCTTCATCGCTACTTTCTTTCAGCTCCCCTGACTCAGCCACAGTGTCCCAGCCACCTGTATCACCCTCAGTCCTCAACAAGACTACAAAGAAAGTTCCAGCAGTGTGGAAAGGATTCGTGATGATGCAGAGTGTAGCTAAGTTCGGCACTAGTGCTTACCGCGTGTCGGGATCATGTGAGGACCTGTTACAACTCCTACCTGACACATTGCATATCCAGGGCCGCATAGCGCATGAGCAAGTATGGGACTACCTCTTACAGCTGAAGAGTTCCACATCAAGGGTACGGCCACTCTAACTCATCTTGTCTTCAGGGATTTTTCCTGCTCACAGCGCTGCTCGCTCGAAGTTTGAAAACTTTTGCACACAAGCAACCAGCCCTTTATTAACATTTTTAGTCCCAAAAGATCCCATTACTAAAATTGAAGACCACTTCCAATTTCATTTTGAAATACTGAAAAATACACTGCCAGAGACGTCAAGATTCATGGTCATGCTATAGGTTTATTCTACGTACACAGAAGTAAGTGCTAAATAATGTGGAAATATTATCGTGTGGTCTTAACATAGGATTTTATCTACCAACTCAAATGTTAAAACTGCGCACCGAATAAACAGTTTTTAATTTTGAAAGTACTTAAGAAGAGATGTTATGTAAATGGTCACCCCATAGGATTTACTCTGGGGGCTTGTCACGCGACTGTGTCTTTCTGTAAATCTTTTTTCCCACTCAACTTTTGGTTTTCAATAATTTTTTTTCAGGAGGTGTGCGTTATCAGGTATGAGGCGTCTTCAGATGATGAGAAACTGAGTTACGTCTCCCTTTATTCCTACTTCTACAGTCGAAAGCGCTGTGGCGTTGTGAGCAACTGTTATACTGGTGTCAAGGATATGTACCTGGTGCCTTTAGCTTCACATCAACCGATTCCCCCCGAATTGCTCCCTTTTGATGGCCCTGGTAAGAATGTAATTTTTGGTTAGAAATTAAGGCTGTTGCAGGCATTCATGAAACTCTACTTTTCTTTATTTTCCTCGCGAATTCGCGAATTTCCTTGCCTTTCTTAAAAATTTTGTCTTGCCTGTTGGCACTACGAAAATGACACAAGCGTTTTGGCTTTTCTTTTTTCAAGCATTATATGAAAAGCTCCACTGTTAGTCATAAAGTTCGGCCTATTGAATTAAATATTTGCTCACACGATCTTTACGGCTTTAAGTTTGTTTCGTCGTTTACAGAATTGTGTTGTTCTACTTGACATACGAATTTTATTTTCGGCCAGGTCCACCGAGAGAGTGTATAAGGCTGGGCCTTCTTCAGTCTTCCTTAGAAGAAATTTTCTCGAGTGCGGGCAGAGCGATAAACAATCAATTTATGATTCTGATGTAACTTATGTTTTATTTTCAGGCTTAGATGAACCTCGTCCTCACATGCTCCTTGGGGTAATTGTACGCTCAAAAGCTGTGTTTAAACGCCCACGTGCACTCAGTCAGCGGTCCATGTCACCACCACCAAAGCGACGAACCAGTTCAGCGAGTGTTGAGACTAATAGCAGTGATGGAGGGGTTTCAGACAGCCCAGCTAGTAAAAGGGAGACACTTCGTGAGCTGCGTGACTCTCCACCAGCCGATATCGACGATATCGTATTCCAGTACCATACTAGCCAAGCTAAGAAGACAGCCAGTGAGAGCAAAGACTCATCAGTTAAGGTATCACCGGCTTCGGAATCTTCAACACCATCCGTAAGCTCCTCCACTGGAATTTCTTCTGCTGTCTCAAGCGAAAAATCGTCGCTTCCCTCACTCGAGGCACAAAAACAGCAGCTGTTGGACCTTCAAGAGCGCGCTCGCCAGTACATCTTGGCACAGACACAGAAAAAAACAGCCTCAAGCGCTGGAAAGCAAGGGGTGGAAAATGAACAGTCTGGCAGCTCGGAGGTCGTCAGTGTAGACCAGCAGGCAGGGGTAGCTGGAACCGCAGACGACGACGCTCCTTATGATCCCGAAGAGGGCTTGGATCTCGATCTCACTGACATCACCCCTTCCAAACTTGCAGTTACTACCAAGCCTGTTGATCCTGTCAAGCCAGTTGAACCTGCCAAGCCAGTTGAACCTGCTATGTCAGTGAATACTGCTACGCCTGTGGATTCTGCGAAGCCTTCCAGTCTGGAGATTCTAGTTTCCACACTTCAGAGGCTTCAAGGAACAGCTCCTCAACTGTCAGCAGCGAGTGCATTTCTACCTAAGGCGTCAAGTAGTATACTGCAACCCATGAATCTAGCCGCACGTGAGCACCAGTCATCAGCTTCTTCAGACGTTGTGTCTCATTCATCTGCGACCTCAGGTCATGGACAGGCAAAGTCTGAGGAATTAAGCAGACCACATTTCCCAGTGGCAACTGCCGATCGCTTACATTCTTCCTCAGTGTCCAGTGCACAGAGACCTCAGTTTTCTCCCTCTTCTGACCACCGACTACACCCTGGACTGCAACCTGGACCCTCCTCCAATCAAAGGCTACATCCTGCACCCTCCTCAGACCAAAGGCCGCAACCCAGAAATGCCTCTGATCAAAGACTGCAACCTGGACCTACAGATCACAGACCTCAGCCTGGTCCTACTGTAGACCAAAGGCTGCACCCTGCACCTTCCTCAGACCAAAGGCCGCAACCCAGACAGCCTTCTGATCAACGAGTGCAACCTGCACCTACAGATCACAGACCTCAGCCTGGTCCTATTGTAGACCAGAGGCTACAGCACCGAAACTCATCTGATCAAAGAGCTCCATTTGGCCCATCCACTGATCAGAGAACCCAACCTCATCCCGACAGATGGAACCCCTCGGAACCACCACAGGTGACACGTCAAGTGAACAACGTCACTCAAGACGTAGAACAGTACAGTGGCCTGCGTCCCGAAGAACGCGCGCGGCTGGCGGCTCGCGAATCACGCTTAGGATCCCGAGAAAATAGACGAGTATCGAGTGACCACAGAGATCCGCATTACGATCAACGAAGAATCGATGATAGGCACAGACCTGGTTGGCACAATGACTCGCGTTACCATCGGGACTCCAGAGATTCTCGGGATGACTCGCGCAGGAATTGGCGTGACGACTACAGACAAGGAAGGCCGTGGTATAGTGACGAACAGCGCCGAGACCGACACGATCATCCCCCGAGACACGAAGATCGCAGGGAAGAGAGAAGGTTTAAAGAGCACTGGAACCGCGATAGATGGAGGCGGTGACAAAGAGAAACTGTATAGAGTTCTAAGTTGCTGTAAAATTAATAATAGAATTTGTGTTCTGGGTATTTTTTTGTATTTTGTTTTTCCTTGTCTTCTTTTTTCCCTCACAAATGTAACTGGGGGACAAGAAACTACTGAAAGTTCATACCAAGTTCTCTGGTTTTTTCGCCGTCGGATTTGTTTCGCGTTTTTCGCAAATTGGTCCTGCGAAAGGTTACGGCTTGTATCTATGTTGATTTTGATTTGCTTACTATAGAAGTTGTTCGGAGGCATTAAAAAATTTACTTGAGGACCGAAGGTCTATTGGAAGTTGTCCTTATGGGCTCGGTCGCATAGAACATAAAACGCTGACTTTTCGAAGTTACATCGAACAAGCGAGGTCACGCTGCCTCATGGTGACTCAACGAATTTGATGCAGTCTCGAAACTGATTCAAGCACCAGAGAGGCCTTTCCTAAAATCCTCGAGATTTAGTTATACAATCTGTGTTGAATTTTCCGAAGTCTGTACAAAGTTAGTTGTCCATGCGTTTGTGTTGATCGTGGGCCAATCAACTTGTTGATGGTTGTAAGTTCTACACAGATCGATCTTACGTTTTAGAGAAATAGAGGTCTTGTAAAATTTTTAAAAAGCCATTTTAGTAACGTTACTTGAAGGCGGGTTAAAATGTCTTGTAAAAATAACTGGAAATGAGTGTGTTATCTCCCACGACCTTAAATGAATAAACGAAGTGATTTTTGACGGTAGCACAGTGCGTCTCAGAATGACTCTGTGTTCATCATATTTTTAGCCTGCGAACGCAGACTTATTTCTAGTGGTGGGTCAGACGTATTTCCCTAAAGTTAACCATTACTCTGTACTATTGCGCTGTTAGAGTTAAAGATACTTTTGGTCCACACTTGCGGTTTTGCAAATTCTGAACGATGCGCTAAATCGTAAAGAAGCTTGTTCTTGAATAAATAAAAATTTGAACCCATAGTGATTTGATGATTTACAACGCGCCATATTAACTGCAGTTTGATATTATTCCCGTATATGTGGCCTGTATATCCAATTGCTGCCTTAGGCTGTGCGTAAGGCAGGTACCTATTTTTCGATTCGGAAAGAACACAGTGCAAAAGTTTTAGCCTTTTCTGACAGAATATTCTACGCGCGCGTGCGTCTTTTCGAACGCAAACTAGTTGTTTGTGACGAAATCAGTTTCCAAGGAAATGTTGCTATTTGCTTCAGTTTTCGACGCTTTTAGCCACGAGTTTTCCAAGAGAGTTTTCGTGAATTGTTTACCCGTCAAATTTTTTTGAAAAAAAAAAGTCAAGTTTTCTGTAGGAGTGATTACGGAATTGTTTCTCCAAATAACAGAGCTCGAGTTTTAGTTTGTTTGAATTGAGCGCTTCGCGCCAACGCGCGACATGTCGCAAAAATTTTCGAGTGATAGTGGTGCTCGGCCTCACCCGCTAAAACCGAAATCTAAGATTCCGGTCAGGGTTTCATGCTCCGGTAGTGACAGTGAGCAAAGCACCGGGGAAGAGTCGGGATGCAGAAATCGTCAAAGTCGGCGAACCCGGATATCAATTGCAGCTTCCCGCCAAGCGAGTGGAAGTCACAGCGACCCTTGTGTCGAACATCACAGGACACGGAACCCACAAGCAATCGGTTTAGGTAACGCATTAGTTCCATATAAAAGCAAGCAAGTCGGACTATTTGAAATTGTAAATTAATTAAACCAAATTGCTGTTTGACGTACGGAATATTATAAGCATTTCCAAAACTAAAAAAGTCACATTTCGATTTTGTCAATGGGCTTCGTCACGTGCTCCTTCCTCAATGGGAGGATTGCGTGACGAGCCAAAAGAACGTCTGCGTAGGAGGCGATGATATGGCGGAGTAATTCAGTGCTGAGGGTTATCGCGGTTTAAGTAGAATTTAAATATGTTGACTGATATGTACTGCTTATTACAGGCTACCGAATTACCAAAGGAAAAATTATACAGGCACTAGTTAGGAGATGGTTAGCTTAGAATTACAGATTTAAGGTACAGACCTTTTTTTAGCGCTTTTTAAGCGATATGATAAATTGAGACGTTTAGACTGCTTTCACTTCATTTGCGAAATGAACAGTGAGTAAAGCACTCGTGTTGTTGTTAATCACACAAGGCGCGCACTTTAGGCGTCTAATGTCACAGAACTTTGGCCAACATACTTATCGAACTGGCAGAGTTTTTCCTTTTGTGCATTAAAAGATTTCGCGACCGTAATGTTTTCGGGAGTTTAGAGAAACGCGCGGCTGGGCCGAGCCTTTCGAAAGAGGACTAGCACAAATTCAAGTCCTGTTAACATGACAAAAGGCTTTTAGCTATGCTTCCATAATCACTTATTTGATGTGCACCATATTGGATTTTAGGTATTACCCTTGAACCAGCACGTAACTTAAATGAAGTCCTCGCTAAAAAGGGGGACGCGACTGGAGTACGGTTTTCTTCCAAGGCAAAGAACCATGGACAGAAGTCCAAAAGTGCCAGCCCACGTGACACAAAGGCCAGTGCTCTACGAAAACAGGCTGTAATCGAAAAGGCAGCGGCTTCGTCCGGAAAGCCAACAGGGGTAAGATATTTTTTATTAAATTAAAGCTTTGGAACGTCGACGTCGCGGACATCATTAGTTTGTTTTTTTGTTTTTTTGAAACTAGAAGAGAACCTAGTGTCAAATCATAATAGATCGACACTCCCCGGCCGCTACCCTGATACACTGTGGAAACGACTGCAACAAATGTTCTAAAAAAAGTAAATCAAAACATGTCTCCGTGCAGTCGAGACTTTTATTTTTTCATTTTTTTTTTTCTCAGTAGCTATCGAACTTTGTTTTGCAGGAAAAAAGTAGGGTATCTCCCAAAGTACTTTGTGGCCGAACGTCCTTTACGAAGGACGCCAAGGAAAAACAAGTACGGAGTACGCATGCGCCAGAAGAACTGAAGGAAGAAATCAAGTGAGTCAATATTTCTTTTGTTCATAATTTGAATGATCTTCCCGAGACTTTGGGGCTATCTATTATGGTGAGAAAATAAAAGGCGAACCGTCGTTTACCTGCCTTTGTCTCTCTCACGAGATGCGCCTGGGTTTTTAGAAGATGAGAGTTTACTGAGGTACATTTTTGGCAAACGCATTCGAACAAAAATCATTATTTCTATTCCTGATGATAAGAAAACTGTTACGGAGGTAGTTTCAGTCAAAGGGCCATAGAGATTACTAATTATGGCCTGAGTGTGGCACGCGTCGAACGGGTGGGGGAGGAAGCGAAAAACTAGAGGGTGGGGAAAGGGGAGCATTTTTCTCTCCCTCTCTTACCCCTGCTACTAAGGCCCAGGCTGAATTCTTGTTTTATTCCTCTGAATATTCTTAGATTATAGCCCATGAAATTCCATTGAAGAATGTATTGGGTATCAACTGCAAGCGTTTAGATCTAAAGATAGATTAACGGGTGTATTAATATTTGTCAAGGAAGTTGCATTTTGTTTGAGACAATACTGTAATTCATGTTTCAGGTGTGATACAGTTCAGGTCGATAACAAATCCGTCGCCTTAAATCTCATCAAAGATCAAGAAGTTACAGTTAGCTATTCTGATGAAAGTTTTGAGGGGGAGTCATCTTCGACGACGGAGAAAACAACATCGAGCATTGAATCAGTTAATACAAGTGTAGACTGCTTTGAAAGAAGCACGACTGTTAAAAAGAACAGGCAAGTGGAGGAAATCCAAGAGCGGCAATGTGAAAAAGTAAGTGTGGATAAACAAGCTAGTGACCTTGAGGAAAAGAAGGTTCCTTGTGAGAGCCCAGCAGAAGTCTCTAGCTTGGTGGATGAAAGCTCAGCCGAACAGTTGACTGGCAACGTTGTTGAAAAGCGACTCTCGGAGCAAGCAAATTTGACGGCTGGTGAGGATGGTGATCATACCAGCGACCCTGAAGAGCAGTCCATGTTCTGCGGCGAATCCACCGCTGGGATTCAGTTAAAGAAAAAGCAGAGCATCTGGAAATTCTTTGATAACGATGATGATCAAGACAACGCGCTTGATAATATTAGAGTTCATGTGCCAAAGAATAATAAAGACCAAGAACAAGATGATAAATCTGAAGAAATGTCAAAATCTGTGGATGAATCACAGCGGCCTTCTGAAATCAACGATGGTGATGACAAAGAAACTGAAAAACGTGTGACGGCAGATGGTGTCTTAGAAGGGGATAAGGTGTCATGGTCTTTATCTGTTAGTGATGACTATGATGAGAAATTTGAACAACAAAAGGAGCAGTTTAGAAGCCGCATTCAGCAGCAACTCCTTGAACTGGAAAAGGAACACTCTTTGATGTTAGAGGAGTTGACTCAGGCTTCAAACCTAGTGAGATATTTTGAAAGAGATGATGCAATTATGGAGGAAGAGGGATTCGAGAACCTATTGAACGAGAGGGATGAGACATTGGAGACGAATGAACTAGTATTTAATTGGAATGAAAATCAACCTGAATTGGGAAAAGAAAAGGTTCAAGATCCCAGTAAGATAGCCTCGAAAGTATTAGTGACACGTCCTCAAGAGGAGAGATTTAACTTGACAAAAATTGAGGGAAAATTAACAGAAGAGGATGAACTGAATCTGATTCGGCAGCAAAAAGAGGAAAACAGAGATCGGGAGGGCTTAAGACATCAACTGATGGACAACGATACAGAGCTGAACGAGGACTCACTTCATGATGTTGGTGAAAATTCAGCTGATAAATTAAAAGGCGAACTTATACTGATTCAAAAACAGTTTAAGGAAACAGTCAGCACTTCAGCTCAGAGAAACGCTGAATTAATTAAGGCTCGAGGTTTGCTTTGCAAAGGAGATGAACTTCTGTATGAGTTCAGGCAGAGTTTAACTGAGATGCAGCAAGAACTGGAAGAAACAAAGAAGGCTTTGACTGCGAAGGATGAAGCGTTGGAATCTGTTTCAGCTTATGCGAATTATGAAGATAGCGTCTTGAAGAAAAAGCTGACCAAAGTCGTACTAGATGTGAAGAGAGTGGTTAAGCTTCAAGCTAGGCTACAAAGCTTGCTTCAGGAAAAAGACAGAAACATTAAAGGCAAAGACATCTTTATTGCTCAGTTAAAACAAGATTTGAAGCAATTTGATACTTATTTAAAGGAAAATGATAATGACATTGGGGCCTTCAAAACCACTTTGATGGAGTTAAAGAGAAATCTAGAACTGAGTCGCTCCTCTATAAGGGAAAAAGGCAAAACAATTGAAGAGCTGGAATCGTCCACTAATGTATTAAAGCAGGAGTTGGATATAAAGAATTTATCTTTGACAGAGAAAGACGATCAAATTAAACAGCTAGAATTTTCGATTGCCCAAAATAAGAAAGACTTGGAACAGAGCAGCTCTTCCTTAAAGGAAAAGAACAACCAAATTAAAGATTTGGATTCATCCGTTGAGAAGCTAAAGGAATTTGTGGAGTTAACCAACATTTCCTTGAATGAAAGAAGCAATGAACTGCAACAAATGAAAAGATACGTTGAAGAGAAAGAAAGAGAGCTAGATATCTCAAACGGAAAGAGTCTCTTGCTTCTAGAAGAGAACAGTTGCCTTAAAAACGAATCAGCACTAATGAAAACTCAGCTCTACCAAAGCGAAGAACAAATTAATGATCTCAAAAAGGTGACTTTGACAAAAACTTCAGAGTTAAGAGAAGTGAATGGCGAGTTAGAAAAACTAAGGTACCTGCTGCAGGAAAAGGAACAGAGGATTGATTTTCTACAACGGTCCCTTGCCTCGAAAGAGCGTGACAATGATATTTTGACAGACAATATGAAAAAGAGGTTCTTTGAAATCAGAAGTCTAAAGGGCACGCTTGATGAGGCAAAAAATGAAAGGCGGAAGTTCTCAGAACTTTTTAATCTTCAGACTAGCTATTATGAGACGAAAATCAAGCGGCTGAATTTGGAAGTAGACTGCAATAATATCTTGCTTGGAAAGAAGGAAAGGGCACTTGAAACAGCTCACCTTGGAATTCAAGCCAAAGAAGGACAGTTAGACATGCTAAAAGAACGTTTGTTCAAACAGGAGATGAGGTTTGAGCTGTACAAAAAGATTTCAACAGAGGCAGAGTACAAACTACTACAGGAAAAGCGAACGCTAGAGAAAAGTTTGAAAGAAATGGAAACAGGTGTGTGCGAAAAGAGTAAGGAGAAAATGGAGGTAAAGAGTTTCTCAAATGACAGAAAAAGTGATCCCGAGGCAATTGAACAACAGCATTCGAATGAAAGCAATCAAATGGAAGTAAATTATAGTTACAATGACGAGATGGAAGATAAAGACGTCGAAGAACAAACTCATGTGACAGGTTTGGCTCAAATGGAAGCTAATATCGCAGCAATGAAGAAGGAACTGAAAAGAAGTCGGGAAAATAATGCCACGCTTTCGAAGAGCAACAAAGAGCTAAAAGAGAAAGTCAATAAGCTGAAAAAAGAGGCAGTTGATGAAGAAAAGAGGTTAAATGAGACATTAGACAAGGTACATGAGAGAGATGCTGAAATTTCTCGGCTAAACGGATTGTTGCAGAGGTTGGATCAAAACATGGTGTCTGAGAATGATAATGAAAAGAGGATGGAGCCGGCAAGGACAAAAGAGACAGAGGATACCACAAAAGAACCTAAGGTATTGGAAAAAACAGATGATGTTTCACGAGAATCGAGTGGACAGAACGATGACAGGCAGGAAAATGCCGAACCACCGGATGTGGTAGTTGATATTAGTATGAAGTGTGCCGTGTCTCTGTCGCAGGTGCCAGTCGACTGCACGCAGGAATTCCATGACTCGCGACTTATAAATGAGGATGGCTTACAGGATGAGGCTGAACCAGTTGTGCTGTTCGATGGTAAAATTCAGGAAACAATTGATGCAGAAGCAGTAGAAAGTGATGATCGCAGAAAGGATGTGGCTGACCTGCAGGACTCATGGGACACCACCGGAGAAATGAGCAACTTGGAAAGAAGGGAAAATATCTTTCAAAAACTGGATAACTCGGCGCATCCTGCAAAGAATGATGAACTGCACGACATTGCTGAACATGAAGTTTTAAAAAATGACGTCATTCACCATCTGCCCTACGTAAGAGAGGCAGAGGGCACCTCACAAGACACAAATGATGTGCAAATGACAGACCCTGTACAAGATTTAGTTGAAACACGTAGCCGAGTAAGCCAAGTAGGCGATGGAATGCAGGACATCACTGAACCAGAGATGTTAGTCAACTGCCTCGTGAAGGGTGTGGCTAACCCACAAGTAGCAGGGGTTTCCAGTCAAGATACAGATGACTCAAAAATGACAGATCATGTCCAAAAAGAAGCGGATTTTGAGTCACTACCGCCATTTGATGAACCACAAGGTCGGGATGATCTTCCACTGGTACGTTGATGTCGATTTCAGTCAATTACAGAGGAATAAGACTTATCCCATTTTCTATGCTCAAGAGGCAAATTTTAGGATATTTTGAAAATCCCTTTTGCGGTAATAGAAATGACGTCAAAGTTGTATGGCGATGGAAAATTGCTGTCGATTTGTTCTTTCACAAAGTAGAATTGAAAGCTGCGAACGTCAATTTTGCAGCGACTTTTCTCAGAAAATCGTGCGCGAGTGACAGAGAAAAGATTAGATCGTCGTTAATCACTTCTATTGCCTGTTAAACAATGAGATTAAAGAAATAGATTCCATTTGTCAATCAAAATGTAGAAAGATAAACAAAACAAATTGGTACACTGGCCGCATTTTGACTTCTCTGATCTATAACTGAATAGATACAAGAAACAATAGAAAAGATTTGTTTGATACAATGAGCAGAAGAGCAAAACGCAACACCGAAATCTTGCCTCGTGGCACTCGACTTTTCCTTGCCGTCTAGGTTTCATTTAGGTTGCTGAGAGCACTTTTCACCTCATCAGTTTCTTTAGTCCCAGTTCTTAGTTGAAAACAACTCCTGCTAAACCTTTAGTAGGACTTCACTTGTGTAAATGCAGGAAATATTTTCAGGGCTTTTCGCCCGAAAAGTCACTTTTCCTGAGAGTCGTTAGCCTTTAGTTGTGTCTGTCTGTACCGTACCCATAGATCAATCACATTCATCACGCGTAATATTCAGTTCATTGTATAGAGTCTTTTCACTCATGTGGCCAGCATCTATGCAAATGTATTGGAACAAAAAAATGTTACATAAGAAAAAGCTTCAACTTTTACAGCATGTGGGGTTAGCATTAGACCCCATCGGCCTAAAGCCCTCGGACACCTCATCAAGTTTACACAACGTAGGATTCCTTATCGCTTTGGTTTCGAGAACTGACTGTATTGATTAGGGTTAAGCACGGACTCCAAACGGTTAACTTCTAGTTAGGGTTAGGGTTGTTGCTAGATAAGTTCAGATCAAATCACCTCTAGCCGGTCAATCCTCAGTGGCCTTGTGGTAAGGACATGGACTTCGGGTTCGATATCCACTCACGCTCTACGGAATTTTTTTTCCTTAAAAATTGAAGAGACACACAAAATTGATGAACATTTGTTGAGCAGAATTTTATCTAAGTGAAGTTTGGAAGCAGTAAAGAATACTACGTTGTGTAAACTTCATAAGATGACCACGGAGTTTAGGCCGATCAGGATCGGTTTGGCACACCAACATGGCCGCCGTTTCATTGTTTTGGGACATGCAGTGGTCAATATGGCCGTCGTGACGTCATGTGAAAACACTCTGACATTCAGCTCTTAATCTGAATAAGCGCGTGATATATAGTACTACTAATATTATCGTAAAAAGCAAGAACCAAAAAAGTGCAATATTTTTTTACCAATCCGAGTTCGACGCTCCCCTGACCAGAAGTGCCCTCAGCACCTCAAACACGAATAATATGTGTCACACTATTATTTAGTTTGTGTGTTTTCTCATTTATTTATTTTTGTTTCTGTAGGAAACATCAACTCCAAAATCTTCCAGCAGCAGCATCCATTTGTCACTGTCCTTAACCGACCTTGGCTTTTGAATGAATGATAAGAGGTTTTCGTTATGTTTGCTATTTTCATGAACAGTTTCCTTCGCTAAGAATTATAAGAATGAAAATAGATTTCGTTCACCGAAATCTTAATATAAAGAATATGTTCGCACGCTTTGAAGATTAATTTTTAATAAAAAAAAAAGTATTTTAAATCTGTCTGTTCATGTGATGTGTTCAGATGTAGATGCAGTTCAGAAGGGGCAATGTTCATTCGTTTTTTTGCGTTCACGTTGTGTCTGAAAAATCGGAACATCCGTTGTCAACATTGATTACATCTTTAATATGTGGTCTTTATGACCAACGCTAACGTTTCAGCTTTGCATTGGGTTAAATTCCAAAAATGATGAAGAAAACTCTAAGCCAATGCAATCCGCAGTCCCGGCCCTGTTGTTTATGTGACCTGTAGGGGAATTCTCAAGGGCGGCTCGCTGCATGCTACTTTTTCATGTCTTTTTTGGCCTAATCGTCGTTATGGTCTGGCGTCTTAATTCGTAACTTTCTATATATGCAATACAGGATATAAGTTTTACATTCTTTTTTAATGTTTCCACTTTAACGATCTATAAAGCTGCAAACTACAGTATGACCTGCGCGACCTACCACCTAGAGCAGCAAAATTATTTCAGTTTGCACAAACAATACAGTTATACATCTATAAATGATAACTTTACAGTGACCATGTGAACCATATTTTTAAACAAAATTGTGCGTGCGACATAACGTACTAATCAGAATTTATTATTAATTAAAACTAAATTTTAGAATATTTTGCACGTGCGGTTTTCGAAGTGTCTTTATTTAACTGGCCAAAAAAAAGAAGATAACATACTAATTTAAAATTAAAAGGATAAAGAACAGGCTGATCCCGATCAAGAAGAATGTAGAATAAATGCCAGCAATGCAAGACCGACAAACCAAGCACGGGAGAAGAAAGCAAATTCAGTACCAAGCATGGGAAATACTTCCAAAAAGAAAAATTAAACAACTGCCAATGACCAAGGGGGGTACTCCGGAATTTAAGTGACAGGGATGATCGAATGGGGGCAAAAATCAAAACCCGAAAAAATCCGTAGGGCTTCAAACAAAACCTCAAAAAATCCCTGGACCAACATTTAACCCCCCAAAAATCCCATGCCGAATTTCCTAGCCATAAAAATTTCCAGGGAGCATTAAATGACATAACACAAAAAATAGACACATTAGTTTTGAATACCCCAAAAAATCCCAAAAAATACTTGCCAAAATTTTCCTACCCCAAAAATCCCCAAATCGAAAATTTCAAACCCCAAAACCCCTTCGATCATCCCTGTCACTTGTAATCCGGAGACGAAGTAGGGGGATTATTCGACATTAGTCACTGAGCCTGTGTTGAATAATTGTTTTAGTATAATCATTCAGATGATTACCAGAGAACTTTCTTTGGCACATTGAAGAAATGTGGGCCAGTTCACGAAATAATAGTTTAATGAGGAAGCAGCTTTGTGTGTATTGGTGTAGCTGCAATGGATTTTAAAAAATCCACTTGCTCATTAGTTCAAATTAGTGTTAACTCCTCACTGGTCGACTTCCTTCCAGTAAGTGCTTCGACCCTAAAAACACGGCAACTAAATAATACAACCTACTCTATGGGTCTTTGCAGCTGTAGTCTTTGTCGAATACTTTGACGAGGTTCTCCTTCTAAAAACAGGGAAAAATTACATTCTTATTCTTATAAACAGACGTTTATGAAAGCAAACGTCTCCCTTAATTAGATAAAATAAAGCTTTCTCTGGTGATCTTTATTGGCTTTTTCATACAAAATAAAGTAATAGAATAGTACCAAAACTTATCATATATGATTTACACAAATTACTCATAAGCCATTTACAGGCTACTGTTTCAAAAATGGTACGAGAAGTTGCTCTTATACTTCCACAAAAAAATAAGATTTATATAAATACCTCTTATTAGCCGAGTCTTCGGTCCGTACTGTAAATAGTCCAGTTTCGAATTAAAAATTACCGCTGAATACAAACATTAACGACACATTCATACAGGGTTAGCCTCGACGTAACGTAAGATATTCAGAAATTCTGGCAAGTAAGTGTTTGAAATTTGAATATACACAATAGACAGAGTAATAAACAGGTCTTTTTCTCGTTGGAATTTGTGAATATATTACTTCAGATTGAGGCTAAGGCTGTAAAAAATGCGTCTTCACTTCTTTAATTCAGCGGTCATAGCGAACTCGAAAATGGACTATTAAGGACCGAGTTTTTTTCCATCGATTTATGGCCCAAGCGCGAAGCGCGAGGATCCGTAATTTACAGTACGGACCGAAAAAACGAGGCTAATAAGATGTTTATTATATGGTTTCTTCCTGTTTAGGGTACCGGAAACAAGTGCAGGACGCACGATTTGACAGTCATTTGACTGGTGTCAAAAAAGAAAGTTTTATTGGCGCACGAAAACAATAGCACATAACAGAGGCTTTCCGAGAAAGTAAAAACAAATTCGCCATGTTAAAAAAGTTTATTCGGTCAAAACTAAGTCAGAGCACTGTAAGTTTTAGCTCTTTAATGTAACGCTGGAGTATTTTGGAAACCAGACATTGTGTCTGTCTAGAAGTCGGTTCCATCTTTCTTCCGTTTGTCCTTGTGAAAAAACACTGCAAAAGGCAAAGAAGTTTTTCCAGGTAAGTTTGTTGTCATTGTCGAAGGATTCGCTCGTTAATTGTTTTTGGGAAAACCTCCCTTTCTGCCAGTTCATTCTCGTCTTCAGTTGTGATCCGCGTTAAAATTTTCAAACGCTGACTAGAATTCTCTTCCTCGGTAAGGTTACGATTCAGTTTCTACAACAGCTTCGCTCTCATTAAAACAAAGCTAGGTTAAAATTTGGAAAGGCAAAGTCAACATCCCAGTCCTCAGGGTTTAAATACATATTTCAAAGTTTCTTCGTTGGAAAGTAAGAGCCCTGTAAGTATATTCACTCGTTAATGTGACGCTGGAGTCTTTTGAAAACTGGACATTATTGTGTCTGGCTCGAACTCGCTTCTATCTTTCTTTCGTTGGTCTTTGAAAAAACCACTGCAAAATGCAAAGAAGGTTGTCAAAATGATCGAGTGCAGGTTGAAGGAATTACTCATTTTCTCTTAGGCAAAACGTCTCGAATCTCTGCCAGTCGATTTTCGTCTTTTTAACTATGTACAACGATAAAATTTTCAAACACTGACTAGAATCCTCTTCGATTAGATTACGAGTTAGTTTCTTCATCGCCTTCACAAATAAACACAGTTTAAAATGTTGAAGGCCAAAGTCAACGGTTGACAGGCGTCTTATAACTTCATTTAAACATTTTTTACGAGGTAAAGAGATTTAGACCTCCGAAATGAGCATTTTCTTTAAAACTTTTGGTCCGTATAGCAAGTTACGGACCGCGCAAATTGACCAATCGCATGGCGAAAACAGACTCAGCCATATAATAAGTAGATTTACATGTACACTATTTGATAGCTTACGTCATTAGATAGCTTGTCACTACTATGTTCTCACAAGCTCTTCCGATAACAGCTAAAAATTGTACTTAATAGATCGATACTTCAATGCGAAAAACTGTGATTGAACTCCAACTGAGCTTAATCTTCTAATATACATGAACGCACCAATTGTGATGCTGCTTACAATCCTGCAATAGAATCTACGAATGTAGTATGAGTGCCACCAACAGCATCACTGCTATAATAAACACTAAGCCTTTTGTTATTCTCCAGTTCCGCATGCCTCCAATCCTTGAATGTTCCACTTCTTTCGTTATCTTTTCGCGATCCATTCGACACAGGAGATGTTTAGTCCGCCAACGTACTTCGGTTGAACTGCCAGAGAAAAAGGGACATAATTCTTCAACCTTTCGTTTCGTCAACAACAACCCTCCTGTAGCAGCGACAAAATGTATTTGTGAAAATCTGCATTCTAGTAGAAATTTTATTTTATTTAGTTTATTGATGTTTTTTTATTGGCCCCCATACATTATCTACGAAGGTTGTGCCATGATTTTTTTTCCGGTAAAAATTAATCACGTTTTTCCTGAAATACTCGTGCAAAAGTTTTATTTACTATACCTTTTGGTACGATAAATTTTAAATGCTAAATTTTCTTCGCATATACCAATTTAAAAGCTACCTCGGGTAAAGCTGACGAACGCTGATACTTACAAAAGTTTGTAAAAACCACAATTTTATTTTAGTCTAATATACTATCAGGGGGATTAAACATGCCGCTACTTTTAGACGATTATGCCTAAAACACGAGTTAAGGAACTGAATTTCCTTGACGTTCAGTTTCTCTCTGATAAAGGGAATATGTTTTGCACACCTCTCTCCTTCCATTGTGTTTTGCTCAGTTTGTTGCGGGAATTTGTTCTTGTTTTGATGTTGACCTTGTTCAAGATTGGATTCATTATTCTATTGAAGAAAAGAGAAAAGAGTATTATACTAATGCTTAATCATTCTAGATTCATCTAAACCTTATTTGAAGATGTTTCAAGTAGTTTATTAGGGTTTTTAACATTCTTGCGATAATACAAAGGCGGAGTTCGCGCAAGTCGGTATGGGTAACTGTTTCTGTGTTCGTAAAAGTTGCATGTATATGAACATTTTGAGCTCAGAAACTCTCCGAAGAGATTCAGGGGACATTGGAACATAGCCATATAGCCATTAACATAGGAATACATGGAATATATATAAACTATTGGTAACTCGGGAACAAAAGCATATTTTAGGGAACAGGGAACACTTAAATCGAAGAAATACTCTTAGGGAACAAGGGAACACGAGAAACATTTTGTGGGAACGGGGTAACATGTCCCCCGCCCACCCCCACCCCCACCCCCTACGCTGGAGGCCCTCGCCTCTAACTATGAATGAGACTTTGCGTCAACAGACTTACGAAAAAACACAAAAGACAAAACCACAACATTAAATGAAACGATCTCTTTGACCTTACCACTACCGGAGGATTAGAAAACCAACACATTGTTAATATTAACGAGCATATTTTTTTTTGCTTGAAAACAAGTGCGTAAACTCGCATATAACTAAAAACCCTGGGAAGAGAAAGAATTATTCGACACAATTCTTACCCATAAATGACCAAGAAAGTAATGTCGACTTTCCTAACTACTCACTAACGTCGAGATCATCGATGTACTGACCGTGAGATAAAAATGATTTAAAATGAAACTTGGTTTAGACTTTACCTGTTCGTTTAGCAGCGACGTTTCGATCTCGGGAGAGATATGAGGCTCTACTACAATACTTTTATTTGAACGCAGTTCTCCATTGAGGGAATTGTAGTTTTCGTGTCCTGGTGAACGTGGTGTTGAGCTGATGGTGTCTCTGGAGCCATCACAACGCTCTGTAAGTTACGCATTCAAAATCCTATTTAATAATACTTGATACACGAAATGAGGCTCTTGGAATCCTTACTGGGGATAATGAGGTAGTTCTACAGACGTGGCTTTTGGTTATATTATCTCTTTCGGCAAACGCGTGTTGGGTTTCCTTTGAGGCCGATATAAATGGGAAGCAAACGTGTTGTAAGACTTTGAGCTATAGCAAGTTAAGAGGAAACGTTCTTCTGATTTACCCCCGTGCAATATTGGAATGTATACTTCTTCGTGAACTCAAGACTAGGGTGCAGAGGCAAGATCCGCATGCGTACATCAGCAAAGTTTGAGGTCGAGAGAAAACCTCTCACTATATACTAAGTAATACACTGTAACTCTCAAAGCCAAGTACAATCAGGGCCGGGTTGTCCAAAGAATGATTGCGCTAATCGCGGATAAGTGCTGCGATTTTTTTTATTTAGCTTTGTAGCTTTAAAGACAGTTTTATATTTTCTATTTTGCTTCTTTCAGTTTCGCTTTACAGTAAAATAAAACATCACAAAACTTTAGCGCTATTGACGCTCTTTTCCAAGAGAAATCAAAACCAAGTTTAACTCAGTTTCAATCCTTGATTAGTGCTAACCGCCTTTCGAACAAACAGCATCAGGACTTTTGAGAATCTTTTAAAACCATAACATACCATCATAATTTGTCGGTTCGCTCTCCTCGACAGCGTCAGGCCCTCTCTGTGTTTGTGACTGATTTTGCGTTTCCTCTTCGCTATTCTCTTTCCTTGAAGTGCTATCCTGATCTGGACCTGCTTCTAAGTCAACTCTTTGTTCATCTCTTAACTCCTTGTCATGAGTACCCTTTTCTAAAATATTAAAATGGATATAAGTATCGTATTTCTTGAACACGCAGCCATAAAATCCAGGAATATCTCCCAGTGAAAGAGCTTGTTTTTTTTTAATACATGACATTCGATCCTCCCAGATATTGCAACGTTTCACGTTGAATATGATGATATCATATTGGTGACACAAATTGCCTGAACTGAATAGACTATATAGACAGGCAGACAAACAGAGAGACAGACAGAAACTGAAACAGGTCGCAGTAGTTAGGTCGCGACTGCTGGCTCGGAGAAGTATTAATTTTGCTGAAACTGCAACATGCTATAACACGCCATGTACTTCTTACCTCGAAAGAGAGAGAGAATTTCCTTCTTGAGCTCTTTACACCTCTTTGACCAAGCGAACTTCTTTTCGCACCACATCTTTAAGCTCTTTGCATCTTGTAATCGCTTCCTCCTGGGTTTCTCTCTGACGGTTCGAATTGCTGCTGCCCAATCCTTGCCGTCTTCAGAATGCACGATACAGTCTAAAGCCAAGGGATCATTGATTTTTTGTAAAGCTTTCGCAAAACCTGAATTTGCGCTGACCAGAATTGGAAGACCAGCGGATAGGGCTTCAAGAGCGGTCAAACCAAAGCCTTCTGTCCTTGATGGCATTATGGCGAGATCCACCTCACATAGCAACTTTGCTAGATCGGGTCGCTTTTCGATGAAACCACGCACCGTTAGTTGACGACGCTGGATGCCATGGTGGAGTAACTTCTTTGCAACGTCTTCCTCTTGTCCATGTGAGGCACCAACAGAGTAGAGATGGTACGTCTGGTCCTTAAGCTCTGCAATTGCTTTCGCCGCTATGTCAAACCCTTTCAGCTCAAAATCTTCTGAGTCACCACGACCGAAAATCAAAACGTTGAATTTTTCCCTGTCCTCTTTAGCCTGTTTGCATTTACTAAATTCGCGAAAGATACTTGGATCGGGAGTGATTTCAAACACTTTCTTCTGCCCATGAGGACGGAGATAAGTCTTAAAGTCCTCTGTCAGTTTGGGCCCAACCGCAACCACCGCATCAGCACTTGCACAGAGTTTTACCTCAGTATGGTGCTTCTTTTCTCCTCGTGAGATGTTGCAGGAGTAATTTTTATACATGGCAAGTTCCTCGGGAGCGGTATGTACAAATTGAACCCATACACATTTTGGAAAGAAGCGTCGAATCAGTTGTGCCTGCCTTCCGAGTTTTACTCCATGTCCGACAACAACGTCGATCATCGGCAATTCCTCATTTGGGACCCCTAGCCAGTCAAGTTCGTCATAACCAGGTACTTCGTTTGCTTTTATAATGCTGATGTCACTACTCGCTGCCTCTCGCTTATCTTCTTCACTGCACTTTGTAACGTACAAACTGACCTTTAGATTTGAGCTTTTCGCCAGCTCTATCGCTAGTTGCCTGTTAATTGTTGGGAGACCGCCCTTGGATGAACCCCACTCTCCAGCTAGAAGCATAACATTTTTTGGATAGGTTGAAGTAGTCGACGCTTTCTGAGTAGGTTCGAGAGAAGACAGTATTAGCGTCTGATTTCCTGAGATCGCGGTTGACTGGCCAGCTAAAAGAATGGGAGATTTACATTTAAATTAGACAAGTGAAGAACCTGACTGGAACAAAAGTTACCCTAGTATTCAATTATACATGTAGTACGAAGTTATTGTCATAGTAAAAATCAACGTAAGCCCTATATTGAGAAGCCGGAGGAGTGGCGCTAAGTGGAGAGTTCTCGCCTCCTTCTCCGCGTTTAGATTCAAATTTCGGATCCATAATGTTATGCAGTGGAACCTCAATTTAACGAAGTTCTAAGGGACTGGTAAAATTGCCTCGTCATATCGAGGTTCTGTTCCATATTTTCTACTGTAACTTTTGCCGGGCTAAACGATCTTTATCGTTCCTCATATCGAGGACTTCGTGATATAAAGGGTCGTTAAATCGAGGATCCACTATATGTGAGTTAGCATTGTTGTTAGTTCGCGTCCTGTGTTGTAGGCTTTTCCCCATCCTCACCGAATTTTCTCTCTTCTCAAAAGTAGAATACTTCAATTTCCGATTAGATTTGAAAACACTTGCAAAAAAACCGTGTTGTGGATTTGCCACTGTCTAATCCAATTCACTTTTTTACTATCATTTTATTTTATATTGGATGAACTATATGCAAGAGGTGTCAGCAAAAAAAGTAATAACTAAAACAAAACAAACCTGTTTTCTCTGGAAGGTTATTGTTCTCCAAAGCCTAAAAGAAAAATCCCGGTTAGCTAACAATAGCATGTTCCTATCTTCGAGCTGTAAATTAGTCCGTCGGTGATATCCGTAAATAAGTGATCTTCTAGTGATCGTTTTTGAATTTCCAAATTAGCGTCAGTGAATTTGACTCTTGATGTATGAACTTGGCTAGAATGTTGTGCGTATGGATGTCACCTATTTATTCAACCTGATTCTGTTTAATCGTTACAAGTTCGTCATTTCTCAGTCGCCTATTATGTTAAAAATCACCTCACCTGAAGCCAGTGTTCGTATCTTTCCTTAGGAAGAAAAGCGTGACGACTCTTAGCATGTGGACAGAAGTACTGACTGCTTTTCAAAGCAATGTAGTGAGCACAGTCGTCATGTGAACAACGTTCTCTGTTGTGCCAGATACATCTTCGGGTGTTTGAGTCGACCTTTCCTGCACATAATCTGCATTGCGCACAGAGATCCCAGGACACTGAGCGCAACCAGTGGCACTCTTTACGAATTGTTTCCAAACTCCTTTCCAAGCAGCTAAAAATTTGATATTCAAAGTCAGTTTGAGTAAAAAAAATTACCAGTAGTAGAGATAAAAATTGTGTGCATTTGTGGCTGAATCGAAGGCAGGCATTGATGAAGCATGCTATCCCTTACGAGGGTGACAGTGTATTCTCAACCCTTAAAAAACAATTTTTTAAACTTAGCTTAGATTGAAGCTGGATAGAAAACGTTCCGAAGTGTATTAACCCTTTAATTCCCAAGATCTGAAAGATAATTCTCCTAACCAATGACCATACAAACCGTTGTTGACTATTCTTAAAAATTTGGTGTCATATCAAGACACTACCCCCTATTGATAATTTTCTTAATTCTCATTACCTATCTGCTTTACATTGTATAAAAATTGTAAGGAGAATTGACATGTTAGTCACTCCTGAGAGTGAAGGCTTAAGGATGCGATTAACAGTCAAGAGTTACACTGAGAGAGCTTAACCTACAAAGAGAAAAGAGTTCATAGGGTTCAGTAAAAGCCAGCTACCGGTGGTGTACGATTGTACGTACCGCCGCTTATGTCATCCCTCGCCGCCGGTTACTAAAAATACTGTAGCTTAAATCTCACTTCACCCTAATTGTGATCACAGCCAGTTATCATACGCAGTGCCGGATGCAGACCTTGAGATAAGGGACGGGGGTGGGGGGCGGTCATCTAGACCCTTAGATAGAGGGGGCGGTCTCCAAAAAACGTTTTCGGCCCTTCAGGCCTCGGTTTGGTCTTAACTAAAAATAAGGGGGCCCGGGCCCCCCTGGCCCCTCCTATGGATCCGTCACTGATACGTGAGATAGCTTCATACGTCAAATCTCACTGAAACCTTTTTTCAGTATGAGTCTGAACTCGTAAAGCGAAATAAGTACACAGGCTTACCAATAAATCTCTGAGCAAAATTCTGGATCATCGCATAGTGGATCTGTGTCGTCTTCCGACCAAACTTGCAACTTTATGACACTTTTGAAGCAAAGCAATCCGAGGAAGTTCTTGCCGTCTAAAATGAAGCGTGCCTCGTTAGCGTATATCTGCGGCTGCTTACATGAACTTTTTGTCGCAGCCCATGCTCCAATAAGTGTAACCAGTCTGGAGAACAAGCCCATGGACAAGAACTCAGTCTTGAAGGTTAGATAAACTGGTAATGATGTTGAAGAACCATTGGTTGATGGGATTACTTCATATTCTCGTGGCTTTGTTTTCAGCATGCATGGAACGAGGTACATTGGCTGTTTCTCCTTACTTGCACAAGGAAAAAGAAGGTTAAACTTTTTCATAAGGGACACCAGCGGTTTCTTGATTTCGTCCAAGCCCCGCTCTGTACAAGAGTGGACTAGAAGTTGTTGGGCAAGAATGCCCTCTTCCAGAAGATGCTGCCGATGATTGCGGTTCGTTATCTTTTCCTCTCCGTTTGGTAACGAAGTTATTATCTCACATAGGCTATTGACAAGCCACTGTGGATCCAGTATCACTAAGCCATCTTGGTCACTGGCATCCTCGTGATAGATTATTGATCCACGATCGTGAAGAAAATGCAAGATCTGTTCAATGTCATTTACATCCTGAAGTTTACAACATTTCTCAACAATCTCTTTTGTAAAGTTCTTTTTAAAAATGTACTGCACTCCATTTTTAGCTTTTTCTTGAATTTTACTCTCTATGTAGAGCCATCTGAGGGGAATCTCTTTCTTGGTATGTGGCATCTTACTGGCCATTTCCAATATTTGCCGACGCAAATTAACAATTTGTGTGTCTTCTTGGTCAGGTGCTTTACCAGAGCGTGTGTTATTCAAGACGACACGTCCCGCGACATGATCGCCTAACAATGTGTTCTTGCAAAATCTGTCTAAAAGTCCCTCCATGATGCTGTCAGGGTCTTCGACACAGTCGGCGTGCGTGCCCACAAGGATGACAGGAGGGAGGGTTTCGCCATTTGCAACATATTTCAAGGAATGCACCATGTCCATCCATCTCATGATATGGTCGAGATTGGAATCTTCGCCGTTAGGGTCCGTCACGGAGCCACTGTCATTGTTATTTCCCCTCGGCTTGTCGAACAAACCCTTTGACAAGTCAAACGCCAAGACGTACACATCGTCTGGGGACATGAAGATGGGATGGATGGCTCGATAGACACCTTGTCCAGATAATTCCCAAATAATTGGCCATATTCCACTGGTATCATCACGACAGCTATCGACCTCATCGTCTCCAAAGTTATCCTCTGGAATGGCTTCTTCACCAACTTCATCGGTAGTTTTGGGTGATGACAAATTACTTCCGTCAACTTGTAGGGACGCTGAAGTAAAGACGAAAACATACAGTAGGAGGAGTTTACAAGTAATCGAAACAATTTTATTGAATACTGACTTGTTTCCTTTTCTAAGCAATTTTACGAATAAATTCTCTTTGGAATCAGTAAATGCTTTTCCAAAGTTTTCCCAGCAATCCTGTGTCATAGGTTTGTTGACCGCCTTTCCACAAGACTGAGCTTAACCCTCAGTTTCACTCCCAGGAGTGACCAGCATATAAATTCTCCTCACAAATTTAATAAACTTTCAAGCAAAAATTAAGGTAATGAGAATTAAGAAAATCATTATTGAGGGGATAGTGTTTTGATGTAACACCAAATTCTCAGGAATAGCAAATAAACCCGTTTTTATGGTCATCAGTTACGAGAATTAGCCTACACAGATCTTGGGTGTGAAAGGGTTAATATAACGTTAATAAATTATTAAATGAAACAAACCTGGTTGGATGTTTTGAGTCACCGCTGTTGCCTCAACAGATCCTTGCGTCACCGTGTCATCAGATAATGGAGCAGTCGATCCGCTTTGAAAGTCTTGGTAGATAAATTCTGCACACTTGTACTTGTATGTACTGGACTTTCTTTGAGCAGCCGAGTTTGTCCAAGGCTTTGTAGTCGCATTCTTGATAGCCTCGCTCATGAGTACACCATCCCTCTCTGCCTCGTTCTCATTGAACTCTTCGCCTTTTAGTGCTTTACCAACGCTTGTCTTTCCAACGCCATCATCACCAATCAACAGGACTTTAACTCGCTTGTCGTTCGTTTTGCCGGATGTCAAAGCTCTTCGGTAAGCATCAAAGGCCTTTTTCCCCCTTGCTAAGATGTAGGTGGGAATCATATCTAAATAGGGAATTACAGCATGTTGGTTGTTAACTCGTACGATGAGTTTAATAAGCTTAATTAAAAGGTAGTAGACTTATTTTCTCTGGAGACAAATAACATGAGATAAACAAAAAGAAATCTTTTTCATTCTTTCGGGAGAAAAATATTTTTTAAAATTCAATAAAGCATGCATACAATGCAGACTGGTAAAGGAACTTACTATTTGTCCAAAAGGTGGTATTCTTTACCCTCTCAGTTCGGATAAGATAGCGAGGAATATCAAAAAAATCATTCTCGCTTCTTTATCAGATTGCTACTGCTTATCGTGAGGATTTTGACGAGAGCAATAATTGGTATGAATAGAAACTGGTAAACAATCAAACTTGTAAATCAAAACATAGAATGAGCCAAAATTACAACTGGCACATACAGCCAGATGGATATCTGACTCACTTTGAGTGGTGCAATATTTAAACGCAAGATCCCGCCTGTTTAAGGAACGGTGATCTAGCACTGCTGCCAGGCCTTGGTAGGTTACGTCCTTCAATTCCTTCTCCATTGGGTGCCTAAGAATAGACACTCCATCAGTGACATCAGAAGCGCTGTTTATGGGTACTCCATCTTCTCCTGTTCCATAATCGCTTATCCCGAGTAAGTTGTAAAAGTTCATCTTTTCATCAGGATTGCAGCTTAATTCCCTGACCAGGCATTGAATGTCTTGCATGGTCGGTCGTCCTTCTTTTAACATGCATTTAATATCTGAGGGCCACATAGAAAATTTTAAGTTGAGCATTACTGTATCGATATCAAGACGTTTACTTGGTTTTGATTTTGAAAAATTGTACTACAGTTCCATTCTTGTACCATTGGAAAGATTGTCGTTTTCTAGAATAAGCTGAGACTATTGGCGTGCTAACGAACTGAGATTAACGTGGGTGTTAACTGTTACATGTTGCACGTTAACAACAAGGTGTTTAGTTACACTCTATTTTATCGTGAATATTTCATTATTGTTTTCATCAATCGGAACGATAAAAGAACAATGCTTCTGGTAACAAAGAATAGTCAGTAACCCTTTTAATTCGCAAACATCGAAATGATTTAATTGACTTTATCCTAAATGGTGCGGAATGGTTAAAAGTCAGACATTTGAAAGGTATAAATGGAAACCCATCATAACAGGGGAACATTTCGGCCCATCAGAAACCGGAAACGCCGGTCAAACTTTTCATTAAAACCAAAAGAGGGAATAAAATACCGCTCAAAATGGAAAAGCTCCCGAGGATAAGGATCTAAAGCTGTGGGGTAAAGAACTTGACAAGCGAATAACTGCTTATTTTATTTTAAATAAATGAAAACCGAAACCGAATATCAAAAAGAGAAAAACCGGAAACTGTAGCCTGTAGATATCAAATGGACTAAAAGCCAAATTCAAATCGAAATTTTGACCTCAAACACGGATCTCAAAAATGACCAGAACCGGTAAAGCGATCCTCAGTACAATGTGTGAACTACCAAGGGAAAACAAACATGGAAGACTTACCGATTTCATCTTCGTCTTGGACCTTATCCTTTCCTCCTGGTCCTTGTGCAATGGTTGAATCCATATTCAGACCTTACGTTTCTGACAGGAAGAGATTAATAATTAAACATCGTTTACTTTTCGTAACCCACAGCTCTTTTTGAGGAATATTTGTTTTGGCCTTGGAAACAAAACTGAGCTATGGAAAAGAAATTTGTTCAGATCGTTGTGGTGGAGAAATGAATACGTGACAAACGAACCCCAAAGAACGTCTGCGGGGAGGCTATAGCTGGAAACGCTAGAACCTTTTAGATCTCTGAATGACCTTTTAAGTAGGTCTTCTCAGAAAGAGGGCATGTTGACTGATTAAATAACTAGCCATAGAAAATAACAAAATGATCACAATCATATAGTGAGATGAGTGACACTGACAGTTGAATTCAACGTCGTCGGTAGGACTCATCAGTTAAAAGACAAAACGATCACACAACACGACCAACAACGAATTTGTATTAAAGAATCACTGGCTTTTCTACTGAAAGTGACGGCAATTGAAGAAATATCTGATGGTCAGTTCTGGGAAACACTTGAAGTTGTCCACCAGCAGAATATAGACAGCTACAATAGGTCATAATTAATGAAGCAGATATGAAATGATAATAAACTCATAAGCCCTGTCATGAGCGTTAAGTTAGCGATGTCGCTTTACTCGTGTTGAATGCGTTTGATAGGAGACGAAATTCTGCGCACATTCTGCGTTGAGGTGAAATATACGACATCACTAGCCTTCAAGACTTTTTCATAATGATTTACAGTTTAAATAGAGGTTTCACTGTAAGCAATCACCTAGTTTGATCAAATTAATCCATAGCAATAACTATCCACCCTTCCTCCTCAACTGTTACCTGTACTACGCCGAACAACGAACGCACTCTCCTATTAGCTCCGATTACTCCTAGTTTATAATCATAAAAGCACTGCACATGACTGCAGTCTGTACAGTCTGTATGAAACGCGTCAATTGCTTTCCCACTTGATTCATAATAAATTACCTTTTTACAATCTCTAGCTTGAACGTCTCTCAGTAGATGTTTGCACTACTAGCTTGAGTAAGCGCGTTAATAGTAACTCTGTTCGGCCGATTCTCAGAATATCAGTATCTTATTCTTAAGTCGTTTTTTATAACATAGAATCCCCCAACCACTGAAGAATCAAGTTTCCTTTTAAGATGACTAGGGAACTTCCCTAGTCTAAATATCGACTAACAAGCTTTCTATTCTTTCATACCATTGGTTAAAAACGACCAGAGGACAAAGGGGCTTTTTGATCCGAATCGTAAACATCTGAAATTAAAATCCATTCACATCTTTTCTGAGAAACTATACTATTATTAACGAACTGCAAAGGTCAGTCTGGTGTGTTACATTTTTCTTTAGGCTAGAGAAAAACAAGAAAACGACGCTTTTAGCTATAAAGTCTGAAGTAAAATATATACCATTGATCGGTTAAAAAGAATGTGCAAGACTTGCACCTAGAGCACTGATATTCTCCAGTAATGTCTGAAAGGGTAAACGAAAACGATATCAGTGATAATTTCCCCATAACATCGGTGATTGCTCTCGTTTTCAGATTCAAAACAATCTCATATTTCTTAGTCTGACCGGTTTTCCGCGATATAAACTTTCAATATTTATTTCGTACCATGAATCAAAACTTCGGGATTTGCTCAGGCGGTGTGCGTCACGAGATTCGACCAATCAGAATGCGTCATTTGTAGAGTGATTTTCGCGCTCGGAAAGAGCCGTTTTCAGAGGTATATGTGGTGAAATTTTCGCTTTATTCCAAGCTTGTGTTGGTAATTTCGACACTATACCGCCGTGGAAAGTTGTTGGAACACTTTATCTTGAAAGCAGTTGCGTTACTTTTTAATATTTTGCTTTCTTGAGCGTTTGTGACAAGTTTGAATTACTCGGTCATGTGCAGGCAGCCATGATGATTGGAGTGTTGTTTTTGCCGTTCTTCTTGGATTTACTGCTGGTTACTGTTAGCGGTTTTATCGAATTATTTTGGCCATCTTGTTACTTCAACCTTTCTTCTTTGCAAATTTCGGGGTCTACCCGGGTCTACCCCCGTTAGTTTTCCCGTTATGAGCCGTTGAAAGTGTCTTGGAATTGAGACATCGTCTTAGCCAAGTGGCACAACTCCCGGGAAACGGGCTGAGAAAACATGCCGAAGCGGATGCCGACGTGAAGCGAGTAACGCCAAATCCAGGAAGAGTTTGTTCTATTTTAAACCACAAAAGGTAAATGAGTTTGAATATTGTAATAACCTTTGGAAAAAAAACATTTTCATAACCCAGTGCGGAAACTGAAAGCGTGACTTTAAAATAATTTGCATGCGGTGTGTGCTATGTGTATGCAAATCTTTGTGTAAACTTATGTGAGGGAATAAATTGTTATATTAAAATCTCTACCAAAACACAAAACCATTATCGAAGATCCAGACAACATCATACAGGATTTTAAAACTGTGAGGTTAGGTTTTACTTTATGACAAAATCGATATACTGCGCTCACTTCAATGACCGCACAGACAAGACAAGATCGTGGTTTATTTCACTGTTTATTTCTGCGACTGTAGCTTCGGTGAAATTCCGATTGTGCTGCAGCTGTTCGGCTCTTTCGGTCTGTTTTCCCCTTGCCTGATAGAAGATTTATTTACGCATAAGGATTTCAAACGGGCACTGTTTTCAAAATAATATAAACTTGTCGATGAAAATAAAATTGTTATGAGAGACGATTTCTCACCTAGGTTAATTTTTGCTAGGCATGTGCCATTATAGTCTATTCTGTGGCCAATTGTAGACCCCATCTTAGTCACTTTTGGGCAAATATGTAATTTTCGCGATCCCAACTTAGTCACAGTCTATTTTTATGAATTGACCCATTTTTTTAGATTGAATGAAAACCACTTTACTTTTCATCTGCCGGTACAAACATTCTGGTACGTTTGGTAACCGTAAATATGAAGAACTGTCTTACACCAAAACATCTAAAATGTGACCCCATGACTAATAACTCTATTGAAAATGCGACCCCATCATAGTCAACCCAGTCGTGAAAATGCGACCCCAACCAGCGGCGCATCCCCATTAGCCTCTTATAAGGAAGTACGCCCTGGGGACGAGGTGGCCCCGCCCCGCGGAGGCCCTGAAGCAGAAGATATTTCACTAGGGGTTTCGGAGTGCCTATTACTCTCCAACTCAATTATCAGATCAGACTCAAGACTGTACTGAACTATTCTCTAATTGTCCACGAAAGCGAAATAAAATACAAGTTTAGCTGGATCGAAAGTAGGGGGCTATTGACACCCTGTGGTTTCTTCGAAAAGGATGGGGATTAATAAAAGGGAGATGATATAAAAAAAGGGTTGGAAAGGGACAGCCCCTATGCCGCAATCTTCGAGTATTTTCACAGGGAGCCCACACAATGTGTGTGCGTAGCCGATTGTTATTTCATTGTAAATGTACTAGATTTTCCGTTTGCTTCACCTGTAACTATATGCTAAGTATGTATATCAAATCAATGCTAAATAAACGTTGAATTACCTTACCTGTGGTATATTGTCGTCCTTTTGCCTCAAAAGCGGTTTTTTGAGCGATTTTGAAGGATTTTTAGGCGCAGTTTACTGTTCCTAATAGTAGATGAAACAGTAAATGGCGAACTCAAAATCCTTCAAAATCGCTAAAAAACCGCTTTTGAGGCAAATTAAGGACGACAATATACCAAAGGTAAGGTAATTCAACGTTTATTTAACATTGATTTATATACACTTATCCATATATCTTTAAAGGTGAAGCAAACGGTAAATCCAGTACATTTACTATTAAATAACAAGCGGTTACACACAAGTGGGTACCCTTTGGTATATATTTTCTAGATTATTTAGAACATCGTTGTGGAACAAAATAATTAGAGCGCTTCGTGTTTTTTGAACAGCACAAAAAAAAAAGGTCCTTTTTCTCGGCTCGATTTAAGAGGCGTATACGCAATAAACAATTGTTCCGTCTGATACCAGCTTAAAATGAAAGTTGGCGTGCATAAACGCACTCGGTTCTCCTCTACAACCAGAACGTTTACTAAGCATGCACCGCGGTCTAATATAAGTATTCCATCATGTAATAACAAGGTGTACAACGGGACCACTGCACTCAATACCTTATGCAGTCTGACCGTACTACAAATATTTCATCAGCCAGTGAATTACTGAGGTGTCAAGTGTCCCTTCCTCTTTTCGTAAAAAACCAGTGTACAGACTACTGAGCGGCCGATTCGGTCCCAATCTCCTCGCGGTTTCTCTGCCCTCGCCTGCCTTTCGCGCAACCAAAACCGCCATGCTACGCAGGTTAGCCAGTATAAACATACTGCAAATCGCTTTACGAACGGAGATTATTAAACGTATACGTGGCAAGGCAGCTCAAGGTCGCTTACCCTGAAAAACAGGAAGTTAACCCAAACGCTCGACACAGACAGAAACCTGTTTTTGGTGGAATTGTCTCTCGAAGTTAAATCGGAAAGGTAAACTAAAATTCTTTACTGTCTTTTATTGTCTCGGTTATTTTATAAGTGTCACAGTTAGAGAAAGCCTTACGAATTGAAATAACGTAGTGTTATCCCTTCATGTGAGAGTTAAAACTGGAGTAACCTGTAAAGGTTTCAGTGGTATTTGGTTGATATCAGGAGGCCGTACTCGTTTCAATTTGCTGTATTACTTTATGAAGCAATAGCATAAGTAAAACGATGGAGTAGAAAGCCGAAAGGGAAAGCCTCCATTCGTCGATCAAACTTCCATATGTGACTCATTTGAGAGCATTAGAAGCCATAAAACTTTTTGAGCCTCAGTTTATCGTAATATTCTGATCCGGTGGTCGGCGTACGTGCGTTTGAGTGCGTGTACAGCACCAAAAGCACTGAAATGCAAAGCAATTTTTCGAGGCCACCGAAGAGAATCTAGAAAGAAGCAAAGGCGAATAGTTGCTTTCCGGTGAAACAGGTTGGAATATATGCCAACGTAAGTGGTTTGCTTCACTACCGTGGTTGCCTTTGCTTTAGTATTATCTAGCATTAACATTATCAAATCTGTCACTTCTTTTTGGTTCTCCGTTTGGTTTACTGGCAAAAGTCAAACAGTATAGTGACGTTAAGCTTTCCCTAATTTAGTATATGCTCCCGAGCATGGAACAATTTTGCAAGTTGCCCCTTCACTGAGTAACTGATTATAAATAAACCAAACTGAACTTCCTATTGTTTTTCAATGCCCCGATGAAAATTTTTCTATGTGATGTTCAGCACCGAAGTGAAATGGCGGCTGTATTGGCGGAGAGGATAGTTACTTTCAAATAATTACAAGAAGGTTGGCTACTTTGTCATTTTTCTTCGGGTTTAAACTTTAGAATGCATCTCCACAGGAAAAAATTTCCTCTTCTTCCAAACTAAATTTCAAATATTTATGTAGAATAGATGTCAGTGCCTTCTGTATTTTTGTTGCTGAGTAATCAAGCGCTTAAAACTGCAGGTTTAATTTATCTCGTTAAATTTTGTATTTATTTTCTCAGAAGAGAAAGGAGTAGAGAAAAACGGCAAATAAAAATGTCCGGAGGATAAGAGATTTGCCAAATATAATTTAATCTATGGGGGAGGGAAAGATATGGATATTTGATTACATTTTCTTCTTCCTACACTGAATTGGGTATACGCAGGTATTCAGTGCCAAACTATTTTGTGGTGACAATAATTTTTATAGCAGTTTGTAAATGAAGACACTAAAACATGAAAAAGTTAGTTTGTAAGGCAGAAAAGAGTTAGGAGGCATTTTGCCTTCAAAGGAACGCTGCAGTTGTTTTATGGCTTACCAATTTAGACTTGGTCTGTTCAAACAAGGTGTCTCAGTACTATACTACATACAGTCGACTCCCGATAACTCGAACCCTCGCTAACTCGAACTTCGCGCTAACTAGAACCAAAATCGATTTCCCCTGGATTTCCGTCATACATTCACTGTAATTTTACCATGACTGGAACCCTCGATAACTCGAACTTCCGCTAACTCGAACCAATTTTTGTTTCCCCTCAGGTCATTTTCTATATAATTTTACCCTCGATAACTCGAACCATGTTTTGAGCCCTTAAAAAGTCGGGAATAAAGCC